CTGGGAAGTGTATCAGAGGTGCCTGATAGATATGACAGGTGCCCACATACACAAATGAGTGCATGTAAAACTGTTGAAATATGAATAAGTTAGATTGATTGTGTCAGTGTCAATTTTCTGGTTGCAGTATTTAGTTGAGTTATTCAAGATGTTACCATTGGGGAAACATGAGGAAATGGTATATGAGATCTCTATTTCTTACAACTGCAATTGCAACTCTACAGTTATTCAAAATAAATTTTTAAGTGGTGAATTGGCAAATGTTGAGTTATATATATTTTTATAACAATAAAAATTGTAAGAACAGATAGGTAGAGGTTATACTTCCTTGAATAAAATGAGAATCTGGGAATAAATGCTAAAATAAATAGAAAAACTCCTTCAGTTGAATGTAAACTAATAAATGTAGAAGAAATGGTGGAGTTAGAAAATAGCCTTTTGGCAGTCGTTTTAGTGATAAATGATTCAGGCAAGGATCATGAATGTGTGATAAAAGTAGTGAGTAAGTTCTTGATTAGGAAGACAGTACATACGTATTCTCAAAGTACCTCCCCACAAATGACTTATTAATTATTAAAGGAAAAATAGTAGCATTACAGTGGTGAAACTTGTATCACTAATAGTGGGACAACTTCAATCTTTTCTCCATTTATTGTGATGCTGCTTATTGGTCCAGTTGTGAGGATTTTCGTTTTCTTATGTTGAGGTGTAAGCCATACTACAGACTGTAGTCTTTAATCTTCATCCATGGAAGCAGCAGTCAAAAAATCAGATGTTGTATTGCACCAGGAAAATCTGCTGCAAAAGATCTCTTTAAAGTGTTGAAGAGCAAAGATGTCACTTTGAAGACGAAGGTTCACCTAACCCAAGCCATGGTATTTCAGTCGTCTCATATGCATGTGAAAGCCAGATAGTGAGTGATAAGGAAGACCAAAGACGAGTTGATATTTTTGAATTGTGGTATTGGCGGAGAATATGGAAAGTATCACGGACTGCCGGAAGAACTAACAGATCTGTCCTGGATAAAGTACAGCCAGAATGCTCCTTGGAAGCAAGAATGGCCCAGCTTCATCTCACCTGCTGGTGAAAGGGACCATTCCCTGGAGGTAAAGCAGAGAGTCAGCAGAAAAGGGGAAGACCCTCAATAAGATGGATTGACACAGTGTCTGAAACAGTGGGCTCGAGTATACCAAGGATTATGAGAATGGCACACGACCATTCTGTTGTACGTTGGGTTGCTGTGAATTGGAGCCGACTTGATGACACCTAACAACAATAATGAGACAAAGTGGGGCATCATATGCCACTGAGAAGGACATACAGCACTTCTGTGATATTTCTGCCTAAAATGCATAACTTGAATCTAATCAGAAAAATACTTCATATTAACCCAAATTGAGGGGCATCTAAAAAATAACTGGCCTATTTGTACTCTTCAGTAGTACAAAGGCCATAAAAACAAAGACTAAAAGTTATTGCAGGATAAAAGAGACTATAGAAACAAGAAAGCTAAATAGAATTTGTGATCCTTGCTTGAATCTTGGACTAGGGAAAAACATGCTATCAAAGACATTTGGGGATAGTTGATGAAATTTAAACATCAATTATATATTAAATAATTTTCTTGTATCAAAGTTAAATTTCTAGATTTTGATCATCTCACTTGTTCTTAGGAATTATTACTGATGTAGGGATATGTGAGCAAAATGTCTGCAGCGTATTTCCATATGGTTCACAACACTGTGTGTGTGACTATGTATATATTTTTTGAGAGGAGAGAAATGAAGCAACATGTTAAAAAATTTAAAAATGAAAAATTGGAACAGTTGTACATTGCTGATTGGAATGTAAAATGCAGCTACTATGAAAACAATTTGGTAGATCCTCAGAAGTTAAATGTAGAGCTACTGTATGGCCTAGCAATTCCATTCCTAGGTAAATACCTGGGAAAATTAAAAGTAGCAACTCAAACAGACATGTGTACACCAGTAGTCATTCTAGCACTATGCACAATAGCCCAAAGGTGGAAACAGCTCTAGTCTCCATCAGTAGATGAATGGATAAACAAAATGTGGTATGTACATACGATGGAATATTATTCAGCCATAAAGAGAAATGAAGTCCTCATACACACTATAACAGATAAACCTTGAAACATTGTGCTGAGTGAAATAAGTCAGACACAAGGACAAATACTGCATGATCTCACTGTTCAGGGATTTGGATGAAGGAATAATAAGGGGGAAAATACTCATTTAATGTTCATTTGTTTTATGCAGTATGTTACTCTCTTTAAGTCCTTAAGTCCATTTATACTAACGTTACAGGGTTGTGTTCCTATCCCAGGAGCCCTGATGGCACAGTGGTTAAAACACTTGGCTGCTAACCAAAAAGTCGACAGTTCAAACCTACCAGCTGCTCCATGGTAGAAAGATGTGGTAGTCTGCTTCTGTAAAGATTGTTGTTGTTATGTGCCGTGAAGTTGGACCCAACTCATAGCGACCCCTCCTTGGGTTTCTGAGGTGGTATCACTATAGAAGTAGATTGCCCAACCTTCCTTTGGAAACCCTATGGAGCAGTTCTGCTCTGTCCTATAGGTTCACCATAAGTAGGAATGAATTCAATAGCAGTAGATTTGATTAGGAAATTAATGTTAATTTATATTTATTTAATAACTGTAATGGAAGTTGTCATGCGTGAGTTTAAAAGAATGCTGGTTATTTTTTAAAAATGTTTTAATTAAAAATGAAATTTTAAAAATATCATAGCCAAGACTTCACCCTTAGCTTCTGAATCAGAATATTCTGGGGTAGGCCCTAGGCATGCACTTCTGTAAGTTCCATAGGTAATTCCAGTGCAGACTCCTGGTTAAGGACCACTTAACTCCTGGTTAAGAAATGCCACTGTGTTTCTTACATTTCCCCTATTCCTCTTCTCCTGGAAAACAGCTGTGTGTCTCTTAAGGGCCAACTTAGAAATGTCTTCCTGTGTGAAACTCTAGCTTCCTGAGGCACTATTAGCCATGCTTTATTCTGCTTCCCCACCCCTCTTGCTATTCCATCTTGCTCCCTTAAAAGTATAGTTGTTAGCTTTTTAGTGAATATCAAAGGAATTGAAAGAGGATGGAATTTAGTTCCTCAGATAAAAACATATTTATTGAAACAATCCCTTTTCCTGTACATTAAGCCCAGATCTGGAATACTGGTGTGTTTTGTGATGTTGTGGAGTTTTTATTGTTTTTTTTTTTTTCAAATTTTGGTAACGCCCATATAACATAAAATTTGTCGTTTTAGCTCTGTTTAAGTGTACATTTCAGTGATGTTAATTGCTGTCACGGTGTAGTTTTTCTGAGTGCTCCACTTAAGCACCTGATCCTGGCCTACCTATTGTTCTGTCATCCAAATCCTTGGAGTAACCCTACAGTAAATCTGTACTCTTTAATAAAATATCTACAGGGGAATGCTCCTATAGCAGGGATGGTGAGACTTTGGTACTTTGGAAATGTTATTAGGAGGGACCAGTCCCTGGAGAAGGACATCATGCTTGGGTCAGTAAAAAAGAGAAAGACCCTCAATGAGATGGATTGTCACAGTGGTGCAACAGTGGGCTCAAGCATAGCAGTGACTGTGAGGATGGCGCAGAACCAGACAGGGCTTCGTTCTGTTGTACCTGGGGTCACTGTGAACAGACTCGGTGGCACCTAACAACAACAACACAGGGAAAAGGCACAGTCTTTGGGCATGTAGCTGTCTCTAAGCATCTGACTCTCCTTTCTCCAGATCGTGTTCACATGAGCGCACTTGAAATACATTTAAGTACCTCTGTGTCCCTAGATATTGCAGCAGATTCTGGGTAAACAAAAAAATTAAAAATGGTCAAAACATGCTACCTTTCTCAAGTGAAAGCATCTCACTTTTCCTGTATGAAGACAGAGACCTAGTATTTAAAGTAAATGTATAACCATTAAGAGATAGGGCTGTCTTTAAGGGGAGAAGTTACATTGTATGACTATAGGTACCAGCTTACTGAAATGTTAGCTGATTTTAGACATCAGATACTTTAAAACCTCTTTCCAAAGTCATCAGCTGAGATAGCACTTCTGGGTCTTATAATGGTAATTTTGGCATGGTTGAGGGCAGAAACACCCAAGGGGCAATGGAGCATGGACTCAGTGAAGTCCATTTCCCAGAAGGGAAATAGGATAATAAAGGTAATGTTAGAAAAGTCCCAGTGCTTATTCTTTGAAATAGGGAAAAAGTGCTCAGGAACCCTGATGACAGTGGCAGGATGGGAAGTGGATTATGGGCACAGCAGGTCGTCAGCCAGGAGGGATTCCTTCTCTGCCCCACTGCTACCCTTCCAGTCTGCAGACTGAAACTTGATAGTCCAGGCTTCTGTCCATAGCCCCACTTCTGTGACTGAGTCATGGAGCCAGGTCCCCATGGGGCAGAGGCTTCCTTCCACACCAGTATGGACTTCTTAGAAAAAGTGGGTCAGGGACAGGAGTCAAGAGGTGAAATATGCAGTCCAGGGAAAATGGACTCATGGATGGTAGAGGAAAGTAGAAAAGACTTAGTGAAGAAGGAAAATCGCAGCTAGGAAATGACCCATTTTGACTATTCTAACTGCTTAGGGCTTCTCTTATGCCAAAATCTTGTATTAGCAAGAATCCTTTCTCCTGCATTGTTCAGAGTTCTTTTGCATGTGTCACAAAGCAATTTCAAGGATCAAAGCCAACCAGAATTAAGTTGATTGTATAGATGCAAAAAGTGAGCATCACAGCAGATTATTCAGAAAGCAAGGAGCAACCGCAGGCTCTGGAGTCTAGGAGATGTGCCTACACAGATCAGGTGGCTTGTTATCAAAGGCCTCAAGCAACAGCAGGCCAAAGGCTAATCTGCAGAGGTTTTTCTGTTCATCCATCTCCTTCTCTTCTTCCCCTCACCTCTGGTAGTGAACCTTAACTCTCTTATATAATAGAAACTTTTTCTTCTCTGTAGATTCTTTGTGGGAAAGAGATTCCTCGCTGGATCAATCGACTTGCCTACTTCAGCTCCTGTATACCCTTCCTTCAGAGTTGCCTCCCAAAGGAGTGGCTCACCCCTGCTGCCCTCCAGTCCAGCGTCAGCCAGGAGCTCCAGGAGGAGCTGGAGGAAGCAGAGGATGCTGCCGCATCGGCAGCCATGGCTAACACCACAGCGGGCCCCAGACCTGGACACCATACTAAACTATAAGTGTCTCCAAAGTCACACATTCAGAACTGTTGCTGGCAGTTGATTATCACTAGAGGAAAGCAAAAAGAGTAAAGCGTCTTTTGGATATTTTGTATGCAAAGATGATTCTCGCCCAAATCCCAGTTTTTCAGCTCAGGATTATATTTGTAATCACAAAAAAAAAAAAAAAAAAATCACTTGGCGCAGGAGGGAGAACTTTGTATGAAGCCACCCTCTCTTTTTTTTTTTTAACCCACTTGTAAATTTGGATTTACTTCTGTTTTATACAAGCTCTGTTAAGTTATGTTTACAGTATTTTGTATCGCTGTTTACAAACCTTGCATGGACTCCTGCCACCATGAAAGAAGAAATTCTTCATGTCTTCAGAATTAGGCAGGTAATCTTTGTACACTCCTGACAGTTGCCAGAGCTACGGCATAAATAATAGGCACACAAAATGGTACTTTACACCATTATAGTCAACATCACCTGCGTAAGAATTGTCTTTTGGATTTTTGTCTGTTTTTGTTCTTAAAGATAATGGCACCAGGATTCAGGGAGCCACACTGACCAAGGTGAAGGAGCACACACAGCCCTGAGGACTTGGGGCCTTGGTCTGCACGACGGTGGCCTGCCCACAGGTCCAGTTCCTCGTCACCTTCCCTCCTACAAGCACATCTACCAGGGTTCCCATCCAGCAGTTGCTTCATCCCACAGATCCGTCCACCCAGGCAGCGTGAGACATTCTTCTTTCTGTCTGGCTTTGATGCCTCTGATTCTGGAATGAAGATTTTTCTTTAAGGATATCTTTGCTAATCAATGATGAGTGTTTTTGCACATTTAGGGGACAGGATAGGATGGGGTTCATTTTTATTTTGATACATGTTGATTTCCTCCCCACACAGGATTTTGTTGATGGAGTATGAATGTCCAAAGTGGTAGCCTTTTATGTAGCAGTGTGAATTGACATCAGCTGCTTTTAACTATTCAGGCTGCCTTTTATACTAATAGATCTTGAAAACCAGAGTCTAAAATAACACACTCCAAAAAGATAACCTTTGATATTTTAAAATTGTAATGTACTATATCAGAAAGAGCATATCAGAGTTTGTTCATTTGTTACGGGAGTAGTTTCATCTCATAAACAGAATGCCTAGTCTCATTGACCTCTTGTTGAAAAATCCTATTTGTGTGTCTTAAAATTCATCTTTGTGTGTTTTCTCTCTTACATTACCTACACTGAGAGTGACGTTCTACCACAGTTAAGTGCTCATTATCAAGGAATCCGTCTGCCCAGATCTACTCCCAGTTTGATCCTTAGATGTAAGAACCAAGTCATTATATGTAAAATTAGATTCTTCTGCCTTAAGAATGAATGTCCTACATAAAATATTGGATGCAGTGTATAAATTATCCAAGGCAGTGACTTCAGCTTTATATATATTGTTGGTTTTTAAGTCATCTATATTTATTTAAACTTCTATATTGGATTGTTTGCTCAGTATGAAGATACATATCTTTGAGTAAACTACATTTTTAACTTTTCCATAAGCCAGTTTAGATTAATTTTAACAACAACACAAGCACACCCTGTTCATGGGGAAAATAAACCCTGGGTTTTAATCATTAACCTGGGGAAAATGAAGCCACTCAACCTAATTTATGCTTTTGACTGTTCTGTCTGCAGAGGAAAGCCTTTTCAGATTTCTCTCAGTTTTTTAAGGAGCAGAACACTTGTTTGAAGAGATGTGACAGAAGAAATGAATATATGATCTTTATGGAAAAAGGATTTGATTCAGGTCTAAAAATGAGATTTAGGACAAAACACAGAAGGCTGTAGCGGTGAGTTTGTTCAGTAAATCATATCACCAAAACCCAGGTTATTCGAAAGTATTTGGTACAGTTTGTTTGGAATACATATATAAATGTGGTGGGTTATAGTTTTTTCTAATTCGTTCACATATACACTATTTAAAGCTGAGCTACTGATGGATAGAAAGGAGTAGCCATTAGTTAGACTCTTCTTGGTGAATAGCCAGGCGCATCCCATCTGTGCTTATCCAGAATCCAACAACTCAGCATACACAAATGATGTTATTGTTTTGTTGTACTTAATCTGCATCATTTGGCATTTAAGAATCGTGTAAAGGGTCATAGTAGAAATAGTGGCCTAAGACCAATTACAGCAACAATCAGTAGATAAAATTCTAGACATGGGGTTCCTTGCAATCTAATTGCACCTGAAATTGGGAAAAATAACTGTTTTTATTTTAGAAACTCTTCCACAGTTCAAAATTAAGAAGGGATTTAATTAACTAGCATTTAACCAGGTTTTCTTTGCCTTTGGAAGAAAAGAATCTTATTCTCAACCCAATCTGTGTTAAGAAAAATGCTGTATCAGAAACTAAGTCATTAGGATGGGTGTGGTGTGATGGAGTCAGATGTCCTCTTTGTAGTTGTAACAAATGAAACATTTCTCACAGTGGGTTGGTTGGACAGTAGTATTAGAGTGTCAGAAGCTGCTGGTTTCCCTTGTTTGTTTCAAATGCCCTTCTTATTATTATTTTTATTTTTATTTTTTTGTAAACCCTAACAAGGTGGCATCCGCTTTGGAAAGTGTGGCTTGTGAGATTGTAGGAGATAGTGATATAGTAAAGAAAGCCTACACTCGATGCCTAAAATCCAGCCAGCTATTGCTCTGACCCATAGCAATAGTGCAAGTTTCCCTTCACCAGCATTTGTACCGAGCAGGGAGTTCTGGTTTTAGTTCATTGATACATCAGTGTATGAGGAGATTCAACAATACAAACAGCTACAGGACTCTAAATCCATGTCTTCTTCCATCACGAAACGGGTAGAAACACATTGACTGCTTCAGGGTTCTAATCTGTGTATCTTCTGTGGTTCCTTTTCTGTAAAATACTCTGTAATTTTGATACATGCTGTATTTTCTTTATATCATGTTTTAAAGATTTGTTTTTTTCAGCAAGACAACCATACTGCCATTGTGTGCCCTTCTCTTCAGTATGGTTTTAAAGTGCAGCTGAATTAACTAGAATTTCCTTGTCTACCCAATCAATACACATACATCTTCACTGTTTGAAAGGTGTTACAACTGTTAAAGAATCTTCATGAATCTGAAGATAATTTCTTGTAAAGTCGAATGCAAGTGTGCTGTCATTCATAGTGTTTATATTTAAAAAAGACCAGGAATCGTCATTTTTGCTACCTTGATATATCATTGGGCTATCATGTTACAGCATTTAAATACATCAATTTATTAAAAATAATACTTTTATAAGAAATGTTTCATAGTGTTTTCTGATCTCCAGGAGACTGCAGCTGTTGTGTATTTGTGTTGGGGAACAAGGGATTATTATTTATACCCAAGAATCCCATCCGCTTTGCAGGGATATGGCCAACCCCTCTTCATCATGCTTTCCTCTTCTATTCACAGAAACATATATGCATTGCTTTTGAGTCCACAGACAGCATGGCCACATTCCCTCACAGGTGGCAGGGGCCAGCTTTGGCTTCTGGGGAGTGGAGGCAAGGCTGAGAGGGGGAGAAAATGCCCTCTTTTCCACCAGGAGTGACCTGAAGGGGGGAATAGGTTGTCTCCCTCCCAGTTTGAAGCAGCAGGGGTGCAGGAGCCTAGGTGACTTGCCTGGGCTCTTCATTTCCCATGATCCAGTTCTGCTTCAGTTTAGCACCCAGTCTGACCTTCCTTCCCCTTTCTCCTTCACTGGCTGCTTTGCACCTAACCAAGTAATGTTTCCCTGCACTAATTGAATAACTTTTCTTAAGTATTAAACGAATAGGGGTCCCTTATCATTGCCTGTCCACTCTTCTATGTAGAAATGATCAACTGCTCATTTATTTCTTACTTCAAGGAACAGGAATCCTAATAGATTATAATGAGGACATTACAAACTCAGATCTGGTAAAGCATCTACCAAGTCTTGCCTATAGAAAAGATGCCAGTGATAATAAGGAACTTTCTTTTTTCCTTTGTTTGTTGGTATGGTTTGGTTTAATTTTTATCCTACTGTTTTCATTATTATCTGCTCCTGAAGTTCTTATCATCCAGACATTGCCCTTGCTTTAACTTTGTAGACTTTTGTACTAATGAAGATTAATAGCTATACTATATTTTCCAAGAGGTGAGTTAGCTGACAGCTGCTTACTCCTTGTGGACTCTAACCCAGAAAATTGCTGAGCCCTCTCCAGCCAGTCACTCTGGTCCGTTTCCTAAAAAGAAACTCTTGAGGTTCATACCTGCACTAGGCTGTGTGAGTTAAGTTCCTTCCTGCCAAGGCCAAGGGAGAAGCTAAAGACATTTAAGAAGAGCTCCTCTCCACTTGATCAGGGAGGCATTAGGACCCACCGGTGCTCTACAGCCCTACCTTGATCTAGGAGGGCTTCATGGTCCCAGTAGAGAATGTATTTCTCTCATGCTGTTGCGGTACTGGAGTCTAGCCATCTTTGAATTCCCCGATGTCAGAACCCGCACTCAAGCAAGATTACTTATCTTGTTCTGCCAAGCACTCCAGACACTTAGTGTGTCTCCTAGGAAGCCATTGACTGCCAAGCTGTCTCCTTCACACCCCAGGTTCCCAGGTTATCTGTGGAATTTAGCACCTGGAGAATCATCAGGTATTTCAGGAGCCACATGCCTCGGCTGTCCTCATAACCTTGTAAGCAAGGGTACTCGGATATAGTTACCAAAGTCCATCAGCCAGATACCTCAAAGATAGAATGAATGCTTATTCTTCTTTCTCACTAAAAAGAAATAGGGTCTTAACAGGAGTGAAAAACACAAAGAAAAGCAATCTTCCTAGGACCCTCAGTCTACATAGTATCAACCCAAGTAAGGACGGAGATGTTCAGATCAGAAAACTAGAAGGATTAAGAGAGCTAGGAAGGGCAGATTCAGCTCTGATCAAAGATAGAGGAAAACACATGCCTTCCTCCCTCTGAGACCAGTGAGGGGGCTCCACAAAAAGGTCCTCAGTGCCCCGCTTCCTGGTGGGTGATATCCACAAAAGAGGCCAATGTGTCCACTCAAAAAGTTTTCATCTTTAGTCTTGAAAGGCACTGATTTTTGTCAGTGAGAGAAAAGGGAAATGTTCTTACTAGCCTCTGCTGTGCAAGATCCTTCATGTGCATTATTT